ACCCTTCACTTCCCAACCGTCACGTCTTTGCTGTTGTCGAACCTTTACTCTGAACTGACACCCACAACCTTTCCGCTTTGTATCAAACCAAATCGCTTGACTAAAATCTCGTTCCTCCCTTTTGCGATAAACGGACGCATCTCAAAATGCGATCCATTCTACCATCCCGTTGAGATTTATGACTTGCTACTACTAAACAAAAACCTGATCTAATTGCAACTTGTTTTTTCCAATCAATCGCTTGTTGAACATCTTCGAACAGACCATCATGTACAAAAATCCCACTATAATCATTTCCGTCTCCACCATAATCCTGCAACAATGACATATAAATATAATTACATAAGGATTAAATTAATACATTTGACACAAAATTAACACAAAAGTAATTTCTAAATTTTAAATTTCTAAATAACATTTCCATATTTAACGCATAATACATTTAATGTCTAAATTTACACATAATTAACACGTAATTATATATAAAAGTATTTTTACACATACAAATTAAAACATACATTTGTTTATTTTTTACAATTATTAACACATATAAACACACATTTAATTTCAAATTTATCAAAATTAAAAAACAAAAAAAATTATTAACACACATTTAATTTCAAATTTATCAAATTAATCAAAATTAAAAAACAAAAAAAAAAACACAAAAATCAAAAACAAAAACAAAACTTTAAATAAAATTAAAAAAACAAAAAAAAAAATTTGTGGTGGCGGCGTCGCGGCCAGGCGCCCCACCCACGCGGTCGGCTTCCTGGCAGGACGCCGACCACCAATTCGTAATTTTATATGGCTATGTACCTCGTTTTCCGGCAACGATGACGGCTCTTCGGTGTCCCTCGGCGATCCAATGCTGCTCCACATTTTTGGTGAAGAAATTTCGTTTTCCGTAAAAATTAAAAAAAGGGCAAGAAGTTTTACAAAATGTGGGCTTTAAGTAGAAAAATGTGGGCGATAAATAATAACTCCCTTAGGGATTTGTTAAACATCGCCCATAAATCTCTACATAAAGCCCACAATTATTTTTACTTTGACTATTTTGCCCTTTTTCTAATTTTTACCGAAAACTAATTCTCTCTCACGAAAATGTGTAGCCGGAGTGGATCGCCAAGGGATACCGGAGAGCCGTCATCGTTGCCTGAAAGCGAGGTAATTTGGGGGAAAAAATTACGAAAAGTAAGGGTGGCGTCTGGGCGGGACGCCACCACAGTGGCGGCGACGTCCCGGCCAGACGCCATCACCATGGTGGCGGCAACCTGGCCAAACGCCACCACCATGGTGGCGGCGTCCCGGCCAGATGCCACTCCTACTTTTCCGGATTCAAAGGGATACCGCTTTAGTCTGGCTTTTTTCGATTGGTCCTGATCCGAATATAAAAATTTTTTACGGTATTTTTTTTATTTTTATTTTTTAATATAATTTTATTTAAAGTTTCTGTTTTTTTGTAAATTTTTTTTTTTGTGGTTTTTTAACTTTTGATAAATTTGAAATTAAATATGTGTTAATAAAATTATGTTTAATTTTGTATGTGTAAATTAAATATGTGTTAATAATTTCAAAAAAAAAATTATGTTTTAATTATGAATGTGTATGAATACTTTTATACATAATTATGTGTTAATTTTGTGTTAATTATGTGTAAATTTAGAAATTAAATGTATTATGCGTTAAATATAGAAATGAAATTTACAAATAAAATATTTAGAAATTACTTATGTGTTAATTTTGTGTTAAATGTATTAATTTAATCTTTATATAATTATATATATTTAAAAATAATATGGCATTGTTGGAGGATTATGGTGGAGACGGAAATGATTATAGTGGGATTTTCGTACATGATGGTCCCTTCGAAGATGCTCAACAAGCGATTGATTGGGCAAAACAGGTTGCAATTAGATCTGGTTTTTGTTTAGTAGTAGCAAGTCATAAATCTCTCGAGGACTCGAGACGGCGACATGGTATGATGTATTGAGTTCATAGCGCAAAACCCAGCCGAGAAAATGAAAAGGGATGATCTGAGTAATAAAACAAGAACCAAATTAAATGAAATTCTGCAACATTTGAGATTGTTAATCAATTAGACTAAAACCCAAAATAATTGAAACGTAAATCAACTAAAACGCTCAATAAACCCCATGCACGCAACATGTCATACAGTTAAACCCTAGATTTAAATACAATGGCTTTCTACTACTACACAACAAATAAAAATTCAATGTAATTTCACAACAAATCAATGAAACCAAGTATCTGAATGATATTCAAGCACAAAAGCAAGGAAATTGATTAGAGAAAGAACGATATTACCATAAATTGAAGAAATTAACAAGCAGCGGAAGAAATTTAACACGACTTCGACCCAAATTCGGTAAATTTCAGGCGGCTTCAAAAGATAACTACGATCGTATAACAGTATAAGAATACAGGATCGTGATGAACAATTAGTTTTAAAGTATGAATTTAAATATACAACAAATTTGAAAAAAAAATATAAAAATATACAATAAAATGAAAAAAAAAAATATAAACATAAACAAAAAAAAAATCTGAAAAAAAAAATTACAGAAAACTAAAAAAATAAAATAAACATAAACAAAAATAAAATAAAATAAACAAAAATAAAAAAAGGGTGGCGGCGCCCAGGCCAGACGCCAGCCCCACGGCGGCGGCGGCTGGGCAGGACGCCAGAGCCACGGCGGCGGCGCCTTCGCAAGAGCCACCACCGTGGCCCTGGCGTCCCGCCCAGCCGCCGCCGCTGTGGGGCTGACGTCTGTCTTGGGCGCCGCCATCGTGGCCACAACGTCCTAGATAGGCGCCCCGCCCTCTTCGAGGTTTTTTTTTTAATTTTTAAAAAACAAAAATTTCCTTGCCACCGTGACCGCCTTCCTCTGCCTCCGCCGCTACCAATTCCTTGCGGTAAAAAGAAGATGGGTGAGCGGTTGGGTGATGAGAGTGTGTGAGGTTTCTTTATCTTTCTGAATGTACTTTTTCTTCTTTTACCCTCATTTTTGCAATAATGATTGAGGTTTTTATCTTTTTTGTGACCGCCTTCCTCTGCCTCCGCCGCTACCAATTCCTTGCGGTAAAAAGAAGATGGGTGAGCGGTTGGGTGATGAGAGTGTGTGAGGTTTCTTTATCTTTCTGAATGTACTTTTTCTTCTTTTACCCTCATTTTTGCAATAATGATTGAGGTTTTTATCTTTTTTGTGACCGCCTTCCTCTGCCTCCGCCGCTACCAATTCCTTGCGGTAAAAAGAAGATGGGTGAGCGGTTGGGTGATGAGAGTGTGTGAGGTTTCTTTATCTTTCTGAATGTACTTTTTCTTCTTTTACCCTCATTTTTGCAATAATGATTGAGGTTTTTATCTTTTCTAACGTACTAATTCTTACTTTATCTCTCTACTTTCCTTACAAATTATTGGGGTTTTATCCCAATGTACTTACATAACTTTACCTTCCAAACCTTAATTCCCTTGATGTTTCACCAAAAGGGAAAAACATTTAGGGACGGAGGTAGTACTTCATAAAATATATTTTTCTCATGTTTTGTATCCACATGTGTCTATTGACTTTTACTAAGCTACTTTGTTTACTAAGACTACATTTACTATCATATCCAAACAATAGGTCCGACATGGACATGAGCCAGTGACCATTGCCTTTTATTAGTTTATTAAAACCACACATAATAACGTATCCAAGCAACTTATGTAATAAAATTCCTCGTATATTATTCTCCTGTTCATTTACCGTGCATGTTTCCAGATATAATATTTTGACTTAATTATTACTGTGATTATTGCTTCGTTTTTGCATTTTCTACATAAGGGTTATGAAACTTAGAAAATTAAACAGATAAGTAGCACAAACTTTTCCAGGTTGAGCCGTAAAACTAATCTCCTAGCAAAATCAAGAGACAAAGAAGTTGTTGATTGAGTGATAAATTTGAGCATAGTGATACTGTAATAAATATGAAAGTAGCCATAGATTATTTCACTTGGCAAACCAATATAGTGAGAATAGTATTGTAAAAAGGAAGAATATTTAAGCGGATACACCAACACACATACTGAAGACAGACCAAAAGAGTCTGAAGACAAGCATTTCTCTGATTTTTATTTAATGTGAGTGATGAGTAGAAGTCAGCATTTCAAGACCCAAATTGGAATGTTTTGTTTTCTGAAACGACCAAATTTGGAACTTAAACTAAACTGTATTTGGTACTACACTAACGGCACAGATGGGGCTTAGTCACCCATTAGTAAATATCAAGTACAAAACTGCAACATAAATGAGTTTGTGCTTCTAATATAACTAACGTGATTTGGTAACAAAAGTTGTACTCCGTAATTTGTTTGCACATCGGATAGCTTCTTATGGAATGACAACGGTGGTGAGGCATTAATTGCATCTCAAAGTCCCCTTGTCTTGAAAATACAGCTTATGATGCAGAGCTGGGAGCTTCCACTTTAGGGACTTATGTCTAAGAGTTTGTTTGGTATCGTTGTGATTATCTATTTTTTTTTCTTTTATTTTATGATATACTTTGTATGTCATATATAAATATATTAATAAAAAATTAGTAAAATTTATTAAAAGTTTAATAATTTTGAAAACTGTTAACGGAAAAGTGAAACACCTTTTTCTGGTTTTCTGATTGTGGTTATTTGTTTTATTTTATAAAAATAGAAAACTAAAAACAAAAAACAGTGCTCATAGCCCAATCTCATTGTTTGAAAACAAAAAACTAAAAACAAAAACGGGAAAGATGCACACAATACATAATCACAAGCGGAAGCACAACGATTTCATTTTCCTCACAAGTGGAAGCATAACGATTTCATTTTCCCTAATGTATTGTAGAATGGGAAAATACTGCAAATCTTGAGCAAACACAATATGGACAACAACAAACAATTCTAAATAACTCAAATGCAATAAAAATAAAGCACATCGAGATATACGTGGAAACCCAATCCAAGAAAAAACCACGGGTACCATAAGCCGGCACTAAGCCCTTCCACTAATCAATAATAATGAAGGGATACAACAAGTTGTCCTTCTCCAAACAATGCTGGAGGCTTTACAACATCAAACATGTTTGGAACAAACCATTTTCCATACAAATAGAGATTACCAACATTCGGAGCACAAAACTATAATCTAACCATTCGATGTATAGCATGGGATGGCAGAAACGTTGTGTAAATATTTGGCGTTGATCGGCTTCCATATGGGTCTCAATTTGGTGAAAAAACCGGACATCTTCTATGGAAAACTTCCCTTTCTCCTTTTTTGCCTTTCCTCTATTTTGTGCGTGAGATGTTTGCTTTTGTACTCCTTATTTCCAGTAGCTCAGTGGTTTAAGTAGCGGGTAGTGATAGAGGTAACGTTTGGGTAGGTTCTATCAAACAGCAAAATATCAGCGTTGTTGGGGTTATTCTCTTCTACTTGGAGGATGTAGCCCATTTTATCAGCCTAATCAAAACGCTAACCACTACCTCCAACGTTGTTGCCATATTGAGCCAAGTGCGCTGGATCATCAGTAGCTGTTATCTCCTTGTTGCCCTAGCAAAGTGGTTTGTCACAAAGTGCTCCAATACTCCCACGGGACGGTTCTGACTTCAAAACGTGCTGCTGGAACTGCAGTTGTTGATTCAAAAGTTATTAGCACCATGATCTCAAGTTTGCCACATGATCTTCTACGTCGATTGGGAAAATTGATTTCCATATGCTGAGTCGTGATGGATTTCTGTGTGAGCTAGCTAGACTGTCCACTGTGCAAACGCATGTACAAAAATTAGCAACATTTCACATGTATACGAGTTAAGCAGTTATGCAAGTATTAGACAGAGAAATAACAGATAGTGCTTCTTTAACATGCATATTTTCGTTAATGGGACATTTCAAACGGCACTAGTCATCACATGGTAAGAGCATAAGATAAACCAGTAAGAATCCAAGGCTTCAGGGCTTCCAATATACGTAGAGACATCCACACACCCGCATTTTCAAGGGTTAAACCCAGTAATGCAGAGATGAATATTAGAATATAGCAGAACAAGCCATAAAATAAGAATCAACGTAAAGAACTATTGAAAACCAAATTCAAGTGAACGTACGTACATGTTCATAAAACCAAACTCATTGGACTTACATAAGCCCAAGGGTTTTGAGCTTACAAGAGGCATCTTTGGTTTGAGGCACTGTAAAAATCGGAAATTTATCTAGTACAAAGATATTCAGTTGCTGCAGCCACTTATTTTTATATTTTGTAAGAAAATCACAAATTTTCTACCATCTCCAACTTCACTTTGGAACAATTTTATCACAATAACAATCTGGATTAAACTTTAAGTGTCATTTCATGTAACATGAGAAATCTCTTTTGCATCATTGCAAAAAATTTAAAATCAGAATCAACGTAAAAACAACCAAATTCAAGTGAACGTACATGTTCATTGGGACTTACATAAGCCCAAGGGTTTTGAGCTTATAAGGACATCTCTGGTCTGAGGTTGTTGAGGCACTGCAAAAAACTGTAACTAATTTAGTACAGAGATCTTCGGTTGCAACAGTCAATTTTTAAAAAATATATCACAACTATTTACCTGCAGAGTGCATCTCCAACTCATTCTCTTTGGAATAATTTATCACAGTATATAACAACCTGCAGCAAATTAAGTGTCATTTTTCTCTCCCATTGTAAAAGCCTCACTTTATATAACATATGATATATCTGCTGCATCATTGCAAGAGAGTTTTTTTTTTTTTTTTTTTTTTTTTTTTTTTTTTTTTTTTTTTTTTTTTTTTTTTTTTGCATAGGCTAACAAATAAAAGTTACTAATAAATTACAAATAGAGAAAGAAAACAGATAGAGATAGCTTATTGTGATGCTATAATCTGCAAGGTTCCCCTTCAAATTCGATGATTAATTAAACTCTTAAGAGCCATTCATTTAGCATGTTTGAAAATTGAAGTAATAGAAATGCATTCATTTAGCATGTTTGAAAATTGAAATAATAGAAATCCTTTCGGGCTTAAATTATAGGGCTACTGATTGTTAATAAATTTATAAAATAGAGAATACTTAAGGCAATATATACTTCGACCAATGCCAAAGCAGACTATCAGTCAAGTTTACAGGCACCCCTGGTTTGATTCAAAACTGAACAGCATTCAACACCAATTAGCTAGGGAGTTTCTCTGAAATACAAGAGGGCAGATATTTTCAAGTCAATATCCCCCTCTATTTTTCTCCCCTTTATTAAGGGTTGTAAAGCAATTCATTACAAGACATTGAAAAGGAAGAAATATGTAAATCTAGTAACTTGGATTGCAAAACGACATAAGGCCAAGGTTAAGATTTAAAATCTGTGATCACCTAAGTATATCTCCTCTATGAGAGCTGCAAGAATTGGAAATGCATATATTATAATCTTTGGTTGGAATGACAAACGTCCTCCAAAGAAAAAAAAAAAATATTTGCAGCGACAAATTATTAAGGCAGCTTACATGTAAGAAAGCAAGAGATTCTTCCCAAGGTCGTCACAAACTTTTTATCATCACTTTGCAGCTCAAAATCATCATGGCTTCACAATGTTGCTCAAAATTCAATGCCAAATAACTATTACCAACATTGTTTCTGCACAACCATAAAATAATTAGAATCATACATACACCAGAGAGCAAATGGAAATGTAATGCTTATGCATATACATATGTTTCATGTAATATTCTTAGTTCCATTGGTTAAATTCCAAGGAAGGTTTAATCTAAAACTCAGTCAAATTTGATTGATGATGAACTATGTATCTAAATATCTAGACATCCAATCAGTCAGGTATGAATTGCGACCAATACCACCATCCAATCAGTCAGGTATGTAGACCTCCCCTCACCTAACTCATTCACCCAAAAGGGGGAAAAAAAAAATCAACATCAACAACATAGAACTTATCCGGCAAAGACAAGTTAAGCTAAAGCCTAAGGGCCAGATGCTATGACTTCTGTACTGCAGAGATGACTATTAGAATGTAGCATTAGCCACAAAACCAGAGTCAACATAAAGTACTAATGAAACCAAATTCAAGTAAACATACATGTTCACTGGACTTACATAAGCCCAAGGGATTTGAGCTTATAAGAGAATCTGTAGTTTGAGGCACTGCTAAAATCAGAAATTTATTTAGTACGTAGATCTTCAGTTGCTGCAGCCAAGTTTGATAAAATTACATCTATTTTACCTGCAGTGCGCATCTCCAACTCATTCTCTTTGGATTAATTTTATCACAATAACAACCTGCAACAAATTGTCATTTTCCCTCCCATTGTAAAAGCTTCACTTCATATAACATATGAAATATCTGATTGATGCGTCATCACAAATGAATTTTTCTGTAAAGGCACACTGAAATAATAATTATTATTAGTCTCTTACACACACAGAAAAAAAAAAAAGGGAGCCCCAGTTCCTCCCATTTAGGGACGGAGGCAGTACTTCATAAAATATATTTTTCTCATGTTTTGTATCCACATGTGTCTAACATGGACGTAAGCTGGTGACTATTGACTTTTACTAAGCTACTTTGTTTACTAAGACTACATGTACTATCTTATCCAAACAATGTGTCCGACATGGACATGAGCTAGTGACCATTGCCTTTTATTAGTTTATTAAAACCACACATAATAACGTATCCAAGCAATTTATGTAATAAAATTCCTCGTATATTATTATCCTGTTCATTTACCGTACATGTTTCCAGACATAATAGTTTGACTTAATTGTTACTGTGATTATTGCTTCGTTTTTGCATTTTCTACATAAGGGTTATGAAACTTAGAAAATTTAACAGATAAGTAGCACAAACTTTTCCAGGTTGAGCCGTAAAATCAATCTCCTAGCAAAATCAAGAGACAAAGAAGTTGCTGATTGAGTGATAAATTTGAGCATAGTGGTACTGTAATAAATATGAAAGTAGCCATAGATTATTTCACTTGGCAAACCAATATAGTGAGAATAGTACTGTCATAGATTATTTCACTTGGCAAACCAATATAGTGAGAATAGTACTGTAAAAAGGAAGAATATTTAAGCGGATACACCAACACACATACTGAAGACAGACCAAAAGAGTTTGCTGTAATAGCCATAAAAGTTGTCGCGAGGTCTAGGACAGAGAATGAACTTTTCAAGCTGGATGTAGTGCTGCCATTTACAGTAAGAGATCATCTTGGCATGTTGGCAAATGAGTATAACATGGATCTTGTATTCAAGTCCTCGTCGATCTGTACTCTGCAAGCAAATAAAAGGGTGAGGCTAAGTGAAGATTCAAATTATCACACAAAGAACTAAACTCTGAAAGGTAAGGTTGTTCACTAATTATCAGCTGGGACTTTTTTTTTCACCGAAGATTTTGACGTTATGCATACCCTATACTCCCTTCCAGCCTCCAAACTGATTAAAAAAAAAAAAAAAAAAAAAAAAAAAAAAAACCAATCTGATTAACTAGTAAACAAAAGTATGCTCCACCCAATTATCAGGGACTAATCTTGCTGCAAAATGATGATATAAAGAAGTAGATACATTCTTCCTAGACATTTATAAAAGAAAAACACATGTATATGCAATGGAGCTTATATATATTTTGCCTCTGATTCCTAATACTTAATATTTGTATTCAGAAACTGTAACTACTCCATTATTCTATCCGTAGCTAATGAGAGTGGGCATTATGCATCCGAAGCTGCTCAAATGAAAAAATTTGTAGTTTGTTCAATAATCGTATCTAATTCATATTAGACCTAATGACTGAAAATATATAATATGTAGTATTTCAATTTAAAGTCTGAACACAGGAAAGAAAAGCATTACTTAATTGACCAATATTATAAGTCATAGAATATGGAAAGGTAATCAGAAAATAGCATAACCCCTGCCAAATTGTGAGAGATTCCAGTTCGCTACATCAATAGGTAAATGAATCATAAGAAGTTGGTTCACCTTATATATCATAATATCATATCCGAAGGATTATCTCCATTAGGTTGAATATATCACCTACATCAGCAATTCTGCAGAAACTTTGTTTCTTTGGAGGGGATGTGTTGAATGTGAGGCCAGTCTTCCCCAGTGGGTTGTTGGCATCTTTCCTTGAGGCGTTCTGAACAGTAAAGGAGTCGAAGTATCCTGAGGGAAGTCAGTTTAGGCATCCAATCCGGCATACATTCCAATCCCCGGCAATTTGCAATTTCGAGGGTCTGGAGGGCTGCTAAAGATTGCATCCAATTCGGAAGATCCACAAGCTGTGGGAGACGTTGCAAGCACAAGTAACGGAGGGAGTGAGGAAAGGATGGCCATGGCATGCCAATAGTGTTCATTCCCTCTTCTTCTCCCAATAAATTTACATTAGGGCAATCAGAGATTGTTAAATCCTGCAAGGCAGTGAGATGTTCCAATCCTCCTGAAATAACACTCCTCAATTTGCGGCAACCTTCGATTGTCAAGGATCGTAGGGAAGACGAGCAGCTACGGAACACATCCCCAGCTTCTTTCAAACTCTCCAACTCCTCATCAGACAACATACGCAGCTTATCAAGACACTGAAATACTTCTCTGGGAAACGAATTAAGCCATAGAACATCAGTTAGGGTAACTTTCCTGAGTTTGGAAATAACATTTGAAGACAAGGGAGTAGTAGAACCAGTAGTACTGCCACTTGCATCCGCCTTTTCATGCCCCAATTTCGTAATATCCGCAATTATTTGGAGTCTTTTATTGAATCCTCTCATTTTTAGTTCTACTAAGTTGGGACATAGCAGAATCGATCTTAAATTTGGGCAATCAAATATCTCCAAAAACGTCAATTGAGGAAGTGGTATTGGTGCCATGCTGAAGCTGCTGTTAATATCAAGACAAAGCTGATTATTATCTCCCACCCCCTCCCCTATATTTGTCCATCCTTGCAACTCTGGAAGGGACTCCATAAACAGCTCTCTCAGGCGGGGAAATAATCCATTTGGATCACTGCCACCTGCTAATGCACTCTTTTCAAAAATGTACTTCAAATTCGTACAGTCCCTAAGTTCAAGGATTTCCAAATGACGAAGATTTCCAAGGCATGTCAAGTCCTCCATCCTGCACTTGACAAATATCAATCTAATAAGATTAGGGAGAGAGGTCGCCAACTTATTTTCCCTAGCCCAACTCGGCATTCTCATTCCAACACAACTTAGCAACTGTAATCCCCTGAGATTCGGATGTGGTTGCAGCTCTTCCATTAATCTCCTTGCTTCTTCATCATTCTCCCTCAAATATGCTTCTTCATCATTCTCCCTATCCTCAAAGAGTATTCTAATAAAATTGAGATGTTCCTTATCCCTCAAATATGCTCCTTCCCTATCTATATCTTCATCAACTGCTCTGGCATTTTCAAAATATCTGATTGTGACAGAAAGATCACCTTTCAGGCTGTTAAGTCTTTTTAGCTCCCCCAGTTGATCAAACAATTGCTTTAATCCATCCACTACAAAGTCACTCAGCACACGAAGGCAACTCAACTTACTCACGCCCTTTGGCATATTGGTCAGGCTATCACAATCACTTATCTTTAATATCCTCAAATTAACCAACTTCATCAAATCTTTTGATAACTCTTTCAATTTTTCGCACATACATAATTTCAATGTCTGTAAATTATATAACTTGGTAATTGATTGAGGAAGCACATCCAGCTCATCATTGTCTGAGAGATCTAAATATCTTAAATGCAACAATTCACCTATTGAGTGCGGCAAACATTCTATACGTGACTTACTCAAATCCAACACCCTCAAAGACCTCCAATTTGCTACTAATGCCTTCAAGGAAGACTCGTCAATTACAACACGATCATACCATGCACCAACATCCAGAAAGGAACGAATGTGGGTCTTAGAAAAAGAGTATTGCGAGGATGTACTTCGTACATGGGAAATATGTCGGACTTCTCTATCCATAATGTCTGTTACAGAATTTTTAAAACAAATTTCCTTCCCTGCTACATTTTGAGCAATATCATGCATTAGATCGTGTATCTTACACGAAATAATGTCACCATATTCATCATGCTTCACATCTTGAAAAAAACATCTCCGCATCAGAATAGTAAAATACTCCTCAACAGCATCTTCCAACCTTTGACCATCATCTAACGGAACAACGTAGCCCTGTGCCAACCAAAGGCTTATCAGCAACTCCTTCTTTATGACAGTGTCTTTTGGGAACAATGCACAGTATGTGAAACAACTTTTGAGGGGCAATTCAAGTTGATGATAACTAAACATGAGTATAGGCATGATGTCCTTTTGGCTTTCTCTGAAGTTGAATAACCCAATCTCCTGAAATGATATCCATCTACTCTTGTCTTGACCGTACAGAAGACTCCCTGCCACTCTTATGGCAAGAGGAACACTGGCACATCCTTCAACAATCTCTCGGCCAATCTTCAACAAATCTTCGTGAGGGCTTAATTGTTCTGATTCAAATGCTATTTTCTTAAACAAGGACCATGAATTCTCCTTTGACAACCCTTGGAGCTCATATTTTTTACCACCCCCTACAATTTGGGCTGTCTTGTGCGACCGTGTTGTTACCACAACCCAACTTCCTCTCTGGCCTCCCAATAAGAACTCTACAAGCTTAAGCCAGTGATTGCGATTCTCAGTCCATACATCATCTAAAACAAGCAAGTATTTGCTGCCTGATAATTTTTCTCGAAGTTTGCTTTGTAACCTTTCTATGGTAGATTCCTCATGCGTTTGACCAGTTGAAGCATAAATCTTACGAAGTATACTTTCCACATCCAACTGCACCTGATCATGATCAGAGACACAAGTCCACAACCTTAATGGGAATGCAGTTGTGACCCATGGATCATTATACACCAGTTGGGCAAGAGCAGTTTTACCCAATCCTCCGATGCCCACTATAGTGAGGAAAGAAACATCTTGTTGAATGGTAGAACAATTCAACAGATGACCTACAAGTTCCTCCAAGTCATCCTCTCTCCCAATGATACTACGCTCACAGATGTAAGAACATGTCTCCTCCCTCCTCCTCCTGATAGGCTGAAGATCAATACTAATGCCAAATTGAGAGTGATTTTTGGCAATAGCATCTAACTTCCTCCGAATTTTCTTAACCTCTTGGGACATAGAGTGAGCTATCTTAATAGGATTGTAACGAGAAAAGAAGAGACTCACATTTTTGGAGAGTTTCTGATCCTTGATGAGCTGCTTTTGCTTAACAAGAGTGACGAACTCATCGAACAAATCATCTCGTAATTAGTAGAGTCATGTGCACGACCCAATATAATTGCCTAAACAAATGCAAGTGCATGTGTAAATATTTGGGTTTAATACCAAATGCTGTGTTTATATTTATGTCTTTAATTGTATATTAATAATACCAAATGCTGTGTTTATATTTATGTCTTTAATTGTATATTTATCTTCTTGTTGAACATAATTTATTATTTAAGGGGAAAATTCGTAATGTGTCAACTATGAAATATCACGAAACAGCAAAGTAGTGATTTTGGAGTAATAACGGTTTAGGAGCAAACCCCTATCTCAAATAGCGGTTTTACTATGAATAGTACAAAAAATATGTATTTATTTACAATTTTGCCATTTGATAAAGAACGATCATTTATGAACGAGATAAACTTATTCATTATTGTTCGCTTGATTGTATATTCATTTTTCGTCGTTTTTGATCCATGATCTTAATAATTGTACAGTGGTAATATTGATTGTACATTTGATGGGTATTTTTGTCGACTTAATTACAAAATTTGTAATATTTTTTTAGAGAACAAAAATTGTCACTTAATTGGCATTTAAATTTGAATTTATCTGTTTATCATAATAATGCAAGAAAAGCCATAGTTTCCGATGATCAAGTCATGGCTAAGCTGAACTACTTTCTAACTGTTCTTTCAATTCCTTCAATTTACAATCAGATTTCAAAATTTGGAAAAAAAATTACTCGTAAAATTCGACAAGATGTAAGAGGCTGCTGCATTTTCACTTCACTCATCCCTCAAATTCTCACTCGCACTCTCTCTCACTAACGTAGAAGACGCATACACTTTCACACTTAACCACCGGGCTCGACGCTGCCGCTGCCGCCACCGTTGCTGCCACCGGTCGCCGTTGCTGCTGCCGCCAGTCGCTGTTGCTGCTGCCCCTCTTTCTCTCACTCACTCACTCAATTTTGTGGTAAACCCTAAATTCAAATTAGTGTAATTTTGATAATTGCTCTTAATTGTGGTTAATTAATGTAAATTGTATCAAATTGTTGCTAATTATTAATGAAAATGTGGTAAATTGTTGATAATTATTGATGGTAATGTGGTACATTGTTCATGAAATTGTTGATGGTAATGTGGTACATATATGTGAAATTGTTGAAATTATTGATGGTAATATGTGAAATATAATTGTTGATAATTATAGATTATTGGTGAGAAGACTCTTATTTCATTATTGATAATTTATCTATCAATTCATATTAATGTAATGTTTATAATATTAGTTTGTTAGAAATCGTTTTGCATTGCAACCTAAACTAAGAGTTTATAAATGGAGTTAATGCTTAGTTTGTGGGCTCTTGTCAACAAATGAACAAATAATATGGCTCTTGTCAACAAATGAACAAATAATATGGGTCTTGTCAACTTTTTTTTA